ATCTCCAAGAAGTGTGATGGATTTGGAAAGCCCAGACCAGACGTCTTGGAGCCAATGAATCCCCGGGAGGGAGAGGTGAAACATTTCTCCTAAGGTGGATAAAAATTACAAGTCATCATAAACCAGAGTTTGAGAAAATCTTTTTGGCCCCTTGGGTCTCTGTAGCCATCATCCAACCACGCTTTTGGAAGTCGGGATTTATTGAATGGCAATTCAGCTCTGTTGGTCAGCTGTCTACTCCAGGCAGCTCAGGGAAGCTGTTCAAATGCAGTCTGCAAATACTGAGCTGGCTGGGAACATCCAGAGCAGATTCCTGTGGACATTTGTTTCTTTTCCCTTTGAGGAAGCCCCTTTATTTTCCTGTAATTGTATCTGATGAGAGGAAATACAGAAGTAAATGGAGCAGAAGTCAATCCAAATCTTTGCTTGTAAGCTTATTGTTTATTGACTCACAGGCTACCTGTCCTGAGACAAATATAATTATGCAGTGATTAGTCTATGTTCTTCAGTGAAAGAATAAGATCTACAGATGTATTATGTCCTGCTGTTCAAATTTACAAAGTTTACAAAGACTGTGTCAGACAGTCCTGGTTGCCGCGTTGGGAAAGAGGACAATTATGCGTGTTTCACTGAGAATTCAATTGTCAATTTCTCTTACACACCAGTATTTCTCAAAATTTAATGGGCAAGGGGATCACCTGGAGATCTTGTCAAAGTGCAGATTCTGATTCAGAAAGGTATGGGATAAGGCCTCATGTATTCTGCATTTCTTCTTTTTTTTTACCATTTAAGGTTTTTTTTAAAAAAATTTAATACCTTTATTGAGGTACAATTGAAATATAAATTGTGACCACCACAGCCAAGCTGATTAATATATCTATCACCTTATCATTTTCTTTTTTTCTGTGTGTGTGTATGTGATGAGAAAACTTAATTTAAGATCTACCCTGTTAGCAAATTTCAAGTATATAATAGAGTATTGTTAACTATAGTCACCATGCTGTCCATAAGATCACCAAAACTTACTCATCTGGCATAACTGAAACTTTGTACTCTTTGACCATCATCCCATTCCTCTCTCTCCCACTCCTAATCCCTGGCAGTTTCTATGAATTTTACTATTTTAGAGACCACATCTAAGTGAGATCATACAGCATTTGTCCTTCTGAATCCAACTTATTTCACTTAGCATAAGGTTTATCCATGTTGTTGCGAATGGCTTGATTTCCTTCTTTTTAAAGGCTGGATCATACTCCATTGTGTGTGTGTGTGTGTGTGTTTAGACAGAGGGGAGGTGAGGGGGTGCCGGGGTGGGACAGACAGAGAGACAGAGAGAGGCAGAGGGGAAAGAAGAGGGAGCACATAAGGCACAATGTTAACAGCCCTTGACTCTAGTGGTATTTCTGCATCACGTTGTCTTTATCCCATTACCACGGACAGACACTGCAGCTGTTCCCATGTCTTGGCTGTGGTGACCAGTCTGTAAGGAACGATCCTGTGGATTCCCAGACCCACTTTGCACCCCAAGGCTCTAGTGCACAGTATCTGGGATACAATTCAAGTACAAGGGGGCTGGGTGAGTTTGTTTTCTTTCTCAGCGAGGTCCTTTGGTTTCCCGAATTTTATTATGAACATGAAACAGACACAAAACTTGAAAGAATAATACAATGAACCTGTATACCCACAATGAGAGTCAAGAACTGTTGACACTTTGCCACATTTGCTCATTCCTCTCTCCTTTCTGCCTTTCTCTAGCCCTCTTCTCTGCATATATATGTACATATTCTCCAAGCCACATACAATTGCTGATATCATAACTGTTCAATCATAAATATTTCATCATGCATTTCCTAAGAGAATAACTTCCATGGAATTATTCCACTTCGGAGAAGAAATACGAATTCCAAGTCCATAACATTTACTAACAGTCAGTCCATTTTCAGATGTCCCCAATTGTTTCCAACATGCCTTTTATAATTACTTTATAAAAAACAAAGATCCAATCAAGTTTCAGGCATTGCCTTTGTTGAAAAACAGTACCTCAACTTTCCTGGGTTTTGTTTGTTTATTTATTTATCTACTTTTCATGACTGACTTTTTTAAAAGTTCAGACCATCCGTCTTTGAGGATGTCTCGGTCTATGTCTACCTAACTTTTCTCACGGTGTTATTGAATTTTGACTTTAATTGAAAATTATGCCTAGACACTTGAAGGATTCATTCAAGTTAAACCTTTTTTTTTTTTAAGATTTTATTTATTTGACAGAGAAAGAGAGACCGTGAGAGAGGGAACACAAGCAGGGGGAGTGGGAGAGGGAGAAGCAGGCTTCCCGCGGAGCAGGGAGCCCGATGCAGGGCTCGATCCCAGGACCCTGGGATCATGACCTGAGCCGAAGGCAGACGCTTAACGACTGAGCCACCCAGGTGCCCCTCAAGTTAAACCTTTTTAACAAGTTAAACATTTTTGGCAAGTAAACCTCAGAGGTGTTGCGTACTTCAGATTCCATCCCATCAAGAAATTCCTAAAGTCAGGTCATCCCACTGTTAGCGATGTTAACTTTGTCCATTTGATTGCAATAATAAGAGACCCAGATGTCTCTATTTTAAAAGTGCATTTTTTTCTTTTGCATTTGGCAGTCAGTAATTAATCTGTGAGGTGATGTTTTAGCCATTTATGAATATCCTGCTTCCAAACATTTCATCCAATGGCATTAGCACTGACTGCTGAGGCTTACTTGAATGAGTGAATCATTTATTTCATTGGGGATTAAAAAATGGTAATTTCCTAATTCCCTCATTCCTTCTGCATTTATTAACCAGCATTCCTCTGTAACAGTAAGTCCTTCCCTCTTCCCTACCCAACAGCCTCATCATGATGGACCATGACATTTTGTGCATTTAATGCATTGTAACTGATCAAAGACATTATTGTCTTTGATGTTCAAATTGTCCCAAATTTGCCCAGTGAGAGCCCCTTCAAGCTGACTTTTCTGTCTCTTAGACATAATCTCATTTGTCATTGAGAGTTTCCTTTTTATCTGGCATAAAATGTCCTATGCCCACCTTGTTCTTTCCCATCCAAATTGGAAGCAGCCATGTCTGCAAGGAACCCTGGCTGCCTCTAATGGAGAATGACATTTAGAACCAAGATCTAGACACTAGGGTGCACATTGCTACTCAAGGGTCATTGTTTCCAGTATGTTCAGTGACAGAGGTTGGAATCTTTTTTTTTAAATTAGAAGTTCATATTAATATTTCAAATTTGAATTTCAATTACAGGAATTTTTAATTTTATATTTTATTTTCTTATAAAAACTTGAATATATTTATTTATTTGCTTTATCCCACAATATGTTTTTAAAGTTTAAAGATTACAATTGTTACTGCTAACCATAAACTACTATGTGAAGTTTGAGATTTCTTTGCAGTCCTTTTTATCTTAAAATATATTCTACTAAAAGTGTCCAAAAGTTACTTGCAATAATTATTTTCCCTATCGGTTTGACATAGATCTGTGAATCTCTAAAATATGTGTGGTTTATATGTAAGCACTCCTGAAACTGATATTACACTATATGTTAGCTAACTAGAATTTACATAAAAACTTGAAACAAAATTAAATTAAATTAAATTAAATTAAATTAAATTAATAAATAAAAGTCCAAACTGGATTCTCAAAGTAGTCTCAGCCCATTTCCATCCGGCTCACCCTGTTTCCCTACTCTGTACTGGTGACTATTTTCATTAGTTGCTAATTTAACCTTCCTATGTTCCTTTTTGGAGAAAAAAAGAGTTAATTTAATTATTTATTCTATTTTCTCTCCTTTCTTACACAAAAGGCAGCACATCACATAACCTGCTCTATGACAGTATTTGTGGAATATTATCAAAGTAGACTCATAGCCTCTGGGTCATGGAATACATACATACATAAGCAGTTTATCAGATATTGCCAACCATTGGAGTTGTACCTTTCTGGAATGTCGTCTGGCTTGGATGAATGCATGTTCCTCCACAGTCTTGCCAACCCACTGTTTTGCAGATGGTTGACTATTTTTAAAGTATAACAGATGAGGGACACCTCCGTTAATTGGCCAACTCTTGATTTTGGCTCAGATCATGATCTCAGGGACATGAAATCAAGCCCCACGGACTCCACACTCAGTGGAGAGCCTGCTTGAGGATTCTTTCCCTCTCCCTTTGCCCCTCCCCCACTCGTGTGTGTGTGTGTGTGTGTGTGTGTGTGTGTGTTCTCTCTGTAAAATAAATACATAAATCTTTAAAAAAAAAAAGTATAACAGATGAGAAAGTGTAACTCCACAGAATTTTTATTTGCCTTACCGCGAAGAGTGAGGTTAAGATTTTTTCATATATTAAAGAGCAACTTGCCTTGATTTATCTGTAAAATGCCTTTTGTCCTTTTTCCTCTTATGTTTCTGGTCTTTTTCTTCTAATTAATATTGCTATATGGCTATCAGACAATGTAAACTTTATGGCAAAAAAAAAACAGAAATAAAAAAAGGATATTTCTTAATGGTGGTAGGTCCATTTTACCTGGGAAAATATGAGAACTCTAAATTTGCATTCACATAATAATATCGCCTAAAACCAAAAAACCTGGCTGAGGTAGACACAGCTAAACCTGAGTGGGAGATTTTAAAACACTTCTTCATGTAAGTGATAGAGTAAGAAAAAAGAGTCTCAAACTATAAAAGATTTGGGGCACCTGGGTGGCTCAGTCGGTTAAGCGTCTGCCTTCGGCTCAGGTCATGATCCCGGGGTCCTGGGATCGAGCCCCACATCGGGCTCCCGGCTCATGGGGAGCTTGCTTCTCCCTCTCCCTCATACTCCGCCTGCTGCTCCCCTTGCTTGTGCTCTTTCAAATGAATAAATAAAATCTTTAAGAAAAAACTGTAAAAGTTTTAAACGTTGGTACTGTTATGGAACATGGATTGGATGGCCTGACGGAAGAACCAAGCAGCACCGGGAGATCTTGGAGGATAAGAGGTTTTATTTAACTCCAGCGAGGTCAGAGGAGAGTGATCTCCAAAGGTCTGAGCCCCGATCACAAACAAAGGGGCAATTTATACACTTCTTCTTCCGCATACTTGGCACTTTGGGCGTGTGCGCAAAGCGGGGCAGGGAGAACAACCCGGAGGAGCCGCGGGGCAAGGACTGGGACTCTCTCACTGGCTCGGTGGGCCATCTTAGGACACAGATTTTCCTTATCAGTACTAATAAACATGATCTGATTGACATATATAAAATTCTGCATCCAGACAATTGTAGAAATGCACATTTCTATATTAAAATGGGGCGTGGGGGAGTTCCAAACAAAATTACACATGAGACTCTTCTCATAAAATATAAGATGACTAAAATAAAGACATATAACTTTAGGTGTACATGGAGATGTAATAAAGCTATATGAAAAAGAAAGAAACACATAGGATTCAGGATGATGGTTACCTAAAGTGCAGGGAGAAAGGGAGATAGGATAGAAAGGCCACAAGGTTAGATGAAGAGAGTCCAGGTCCTACCTCTTATTTGGGATAGTATTTTTATAAGAGCTTTTTTATATTAAATAAAAAATCAAACAAATGTGAGCTGATGGTAAGTCATGAGCCAAAACTATGCTTAATCTACTTTTATGCATTTGAGATCTAGACAAAACCCACAGAAAAGAAATAAACTTCCAATCCATGAAAGCTAATAAAAGAATAATATCCAAAGAAAGAAGAGAGATTAATTAAGATAAAAACAGACATTAATGAAATAAAATAATAATAATGAAAATAGTAGAAATGATCAATGGGAGAGAAAAGTTTGTTCTTTCAAGAGATCAATAACTGAGACAATACTCGGGAGAATCTGATCCCCAAAAAATGAGAAAGAGAGTCAGTAACGTGTCAGGACATATACTAAATACACAATAAATCAGAATTTGTCTTACAAAAAGTCTGTTCAATATTCTGGTCTACTGAACACAATGGCAGAGAAAAGAGAAAGCAAAAAAAAATGATTTTTTTGGCGTCAACAATCATAATTCTAGCTCCATTGCTCAATAGCTATTTTTTAAGTGATTTCCAAACATTTTGCATATCTTGACATGCATCCTGTTCTTTATGCCTTGATCTTTAAATCAGCCTTGATGCCATTGTGGTGACTTGAGAGACCATGGGCCAACTCTGAGTCTCCAAGCACACAGATGGAATGAGGGGAAGAAATTTGGAGATTTATCAGAGGAATTCCAAGTACTCCTTGCTACTACATTTCCTTTTACTTATTTATAATGCAAACAAGAAGTTAAAATCATAATTGTTGGGCGCCTGGGTGGCTCAGTTGGTTAAGCGACTGCCTTCGGCTCAGGTCATAATCCCAGAGTCCTGGGATCGAGTCCCACGTCGGGCTCCCGGCTCAGTGGGGAGCCTGCTTCTCCCTCTGACCCTCTCCCCTCTCATGCTGTTTCTCTCTCGCTCGCTCTCTAATAAATAAATAAATAAATAAATAAATAAATAAATAAATAAAATCATAATTGTTTTACCTCTGCCCATTAAAATATGCCATTAAAAATCATCTTAATGAATAGATCTTACTCTCTGGTGATGACTGCTCTGACCTCCTGTCTAACAGGCTCCGTTTATGTCTTGTTTGATGAAAGTTCTCTGCATCTGCAAAGCAAAAGGGCAAACTGATTTATGAACAAGACTTATTGTCACAGAGGCAGATTTGTATAATGAGAAATATATTAAATCTAATGAAGGGAGAACGTGCCTACCAAGGCAGCAAGTCTGCGCTGTGATTAAGTGATTCAATATCCCTCAATGGATTAATTTAGACAATGCACCGGGGTACGCAGCCACTGCCAGACCCCTTTGCTCTAATGACAAATGTTAAACAATCCTGAACACTTGTGCATATGTATTGGCTTTTTAAGGTGTGATGACAAAGGAAGGTGTCACCCTCAGACCTCTGCATTAACGAGATGAATCCCAAAGATGCCTATGTCCTACAGATAGAGAACCAGGAAGATCTATCAACAATGTCATCTTTTAATATCTGCTTACAGTAAAGCATTTACTATAAAATAGACACACTCTTACCTTTTCAACCAAGGCCAGCTTACTGTATCTGACAAACACTAAATGCAATCCACGTTAATGCTGTCTCTCCATCTCCGGGCCCCAGCAGGGCCCAAGTCGGACACAGGACGATCAATCATGGGCTGTGGTTTCCAAATAGGAGGATGACAGCTACTACTTAACTGTCCACATGTACACAACCTATTCAATGTCATTTGAGATGTCATTTGCGAGATTTGAAAGCCACAGCGCCCCTGTCAGGGCCCAGCAGTCACCTTCTGGAACTGGAACAAGTCCAGTTTCCAGTTGTGACTACATGAAGCAAACCCCTGTAACCTTCAGTGACAGAGAGCACAAAGGAAGCTGACTTCTGCATTCCTCGTAGCAATGATTCCAACACAACGCTCTGGGGTCCACGAGTATGCTCAACCTACCTCACGTAGAGGAAAATGAGCCATCTTAGGCACTCGGTGCCACGTGGCAAAAGCAGTCAGCCCTCTGAGAGTCTGCAGGTAATGGATTCAAAAGTTCTAACATTTCTCCCCACCCTTTCTTTTCCTCAAAGAGAAAAGTACCTCAGGAGTACTGGCACCAGAATTAAGAAACTGGAAAAAAATAGCCACTTACAGGGTGTCCAGCAGCCTTAATAAGGAGAAATAGAATTTCCATCGCCTTGGGCTTCCATTCTGATGACTCAAGGGCAGAGGGGAATCTAACAAGTCTAGGATCCTCTCTTCATAACAACTGGGAGGAAGAAAGAAAATGTGACGTCTGCATGAGGCAAGTGATGAAAAGAAAAAGCTGTCCCACACACCAAAAATAAAGGCGAAGAGAAGGTTTCCAGCTTCTGTTTTTGGATTCCCCTAGACTACTGGATCCCTCCAGGCCCAATGAAACCATCTGAGGTGTTTGCTGTGAAGAATATAAACAAATTAGATCTGAGGTCGGAGTCCTATTCTGCAACCTACCCTCTATGCAACCCCGGTGGTGTTCTCTGTTCCTTAAGGAATTATTAGTCCTAATAATTGCATCAGATCTGAATCACTTAGACTAAAGTAATTTTTAAAAACACATTTATCTATTAATAAGTCCTCAGTGAGCTTTAAAGAGGGTGGCTTCTTGTACTAAAGAAGCCTTTTTGATGAGGTATGGGGTAGGGAGGACATGCAAATGAGGAAGTAAGTAGAAGCAGGAAAAGAGATAAATTGCCCTGCATCCGCAAGTTGTAATGGATTGAGAAGCCTTGGGGAAGACAGTGTGAAGCACACACTGAAACCACAGTGACTCTGAGGTGAGTCTGCTGTGGAAAGACAAAAAGAATTTACAAAGAGGCAACCAGTGGCCAGGTTACATCACGAATACCACCACATAGGGTTGTAAATAAAGGAGTTTCAGAAACACAAAGTCCAATAGAATAACTATCCAGTATTAGACGATGCCCAGTGGCATGATTCTTCTTAGGAGCCAGACTACTTACCCAGAAAGGCTACTGTTCCTGAGAAGATATGTGTTGATATGAATAGAAATTTTCATGCTTTTCCAAGTCACATTCATTTCCATTCACCCTGGGAAATAGCAAGTTCACTTCCAGATGCTTCTGAAAGCAAATCCAGGTGCTAGAGGTTCAAGCGCAACAATGCTGGGAGCTTGGTCCCAGGCACTCAGTAATCACATATAGCTACTAGCACAATTTATTTTATTTTTTTAAAGATTTATTTATTTATTTATTTGAGAGAGAGAGAGAGAGCGTGCAAGAGGAGGGAGAGGGGGGGGAGAGAGAGAATCTCAAGCAGACTCTCGGCTGAGTGTGGAGCCCAATGTGGGGTTCCATCCCAGGACCCTGAGATCATGACGTGAGCCAAAATCAAGAGTCAGACACTTAACCAACTGAGCCAGCCAGGCGCCCCCCAATACTGACAATTTCTTTTTTTTAAGATTTTATTTATTTATTTATTTGAGAGAGAGAGAATGAGTAGGGGGAGAGGCAGAGGGAGAGGGAGAAACAGGCTCCCCACTGAGCAGGGAGCCCGATGTGGGGCTTGATCCCAGGACCCTGGGATCATGACCTGAGTCAAAGACAGATGCTTAACTGACTGAGCCACCCAGGCACCCCCTAACACTGACAATTTAAATAGTACTTACTATGTACCAGACACAATTCTACACACTTTACATATATTAACTCATTTATTCTTCACCACAACCTTATGAGGTAGGCTATGATGTTATCCCACTTTCCAGATGAAGAGACTCAAATATGTAAAGATCAGATAATCTGCCCAAAGACTTAAAATATTTGGTGAAATGGGATTCAGTCTGGGCTGTTTGGATCCCAAGTCTGTGCTCTTAAATACTAGACTAGACTGCCTTTCCATATCTATATTAATATAGGCAGAAAGGGAGATAGGTAAAAATATAGGTTCAGATAGATACATACATAGATAGAAATAAGACTTAGATAAAGAAATACAGATACAGGACCAAATATAGATATAGATATGGATGTGGATACAGAAATATAGACATAGATCTTAATGGATTACTAGAGAAAAAAAAAAAATATATATATATATATATACAAATCAGCAAATAAAAAGAATTGGATTAAAGGGATACTGAGACATACCGGAAGTTACCACCTGTTCATTCGTTCAAGAAGCTTGGTATTACATTTGAAACTTTGTGTTTGTATTTGTTTTCATTTTTGTACATATGAACACAAAAAAAGAGTTTTTTTCAGGATAGGATGTCTAATACGATATGATTAGATCTGGAAATGGTAGAATTTGGAGATAAGAGGATTAGGGAAGTTTCTGCTTCTGGCCACAATGGAGTGGCCAGACTTTCTGTGTTGCTGTTAACAACTAGAAAATTGGACATAATCTATAAAACGAGAGTTTTTTAGATGTTGAACAACAGGAGGCACAGAACAGTGATCCCTTAGAGAATAAAAGCACACAGGTGAGTTTTATCATCACCCCAGCTTTGTTCCAAGAGGCACTTTCCAGTGTAACTCAGGGAAGAGAAGCTCAGACAGAGCATGGCAGTCTCATGGAACTGAGAAAACAGATGGGAGTCCAGGGACACTGATGCAGCTGAAAAATTATGGGGTACAGTACTGAAAAGAAGGAAGCTCTGAAGAAAGAGATCCAGCAAACTGTCTAGGGTTCCCCATAAGTCTGTCGCTGACAACTGAGTTGTGCACATGAAAGGTAAAACTCCATGAAGCAAGACAAAGAATTGCATTCAACTTCTCACCTGCCAGAATAAAGAGACATCACCGAACACCAGGGCATTCAGGAGATCTGGTCAGGTCTCAGTAGGAGTAAACAATACACTTCCACCCTTAACAAATGACCAACAAGTGTAAAAAATTATTAAGTTGATCTGTAAATAACTTACCTCTCTACCAACACACACTTAAGTTATTTAAAGGAACAACAACAAAATCCAGATACTCAACAACATAAAAATAGCCAACACATATTTTGCAAAAATAACCATTCATGCAAAAAAAAAGCAAGAAAATTTGACCCATAACTGGAAGAAAAACTGACCAATAACAGAAACAGACCCAGAAATGACAAAGATAATGGAATTAGGAGACAAAAACTTTAAAATCATTATTAGAAATATGGTCATGGACAGAGAGACAAACATGAACATAAGGGGGAAAAAATTACATTTTTAAAATGGAACTTCTACAGCTGAAAAATATGATGAAATGAAAAATCCATTTGAATGAGATTTAAAGATTTGACACTCCAGAAGAAACAATCAATAAACCTAAAGACTAGCAATAAAAACTATCAAATTGGCAAAAGAACAAAATGAAACACACACACAAGAGTGAACTATATGGCTATATTAAGTGCATCACATGTATGTGATTGTAATTTCTATGTAATAGAACGATAGGAGAGAGAGAGAGATGGGGCAGAGATAAATAAAGAAATAGAAAGAAATAAAGAAAATGTCCATACATTTTCCAAATTTGAGGTAATAATCTTTGATGAAAACTTTCCATGAAGTTCAACAAACCCTAAGCAAGATAAATACAAAGAAACCCATACATACCAAGACACATCAAAATCAAGTGACTAAAAAGCAATAAAAAAGAAAAATCTTACAATCAGAAGGAAAAATAAATAAATAAATAGAGGGAAACCAAAGTAAGAAACACTACTGAGTTGCTATTAGAAAAAATGCAAGTCAGGGGCACCTGGGTGGCTCAGTTAAGCATCTGCCTTCGGCTCAGATCATTATCTCAGCACCCTGGGATACAGCCCTGTGTTAGGCTCTCTGCTCAGCGGGGAGTCTGCTTCTCCCTCTCACTCTCCCTCTGTTCTCTCTCTCTCTCTCTCAAATAAATGAATAAAATCTTAAAAAAAAAAAAATCAAGTCAAAGAAAACAGGGCTACATAATATATGTAAAAAATAAGTCTGACAACGGTAACACCAAAGCCCTATCAGTAGAAATTCCATATAAACTCCATGGAATACTCAAAATACTGTGATTTATATATTTATATTATGTACATTATATTATTTATATTCTACTTTTATTATCTATATGCTAATGGAACACTAAAAATAGAAAGGAATAGTTATTGTTATACACAACGTGCAAAATTTCAAAAACATTATACTAAACAAAAGAAGCCAACACACAAAAAAGTATATACTGTACAAAATTCTAAAATAGGCTAATTTATAGTAACAGAAAACAAATCAGAGTTTGCCCCAGGGTTGAGACTAGCATGGGGATTAACTACAAAGCAACCCTAGGGAACATTTTAGAGTAATGGAAATGTTCTGTATTGATTTGTGTGGTGGTTACATGGATGTACGCATTTATCAAAATTCACTGCGCTTGATGCTTAAAATCGGGTCCTTTTGTTGTATGCAAATTATACTCAATCAAGTTGATTTTTTTTTTTTTTAAGTTCCTAGAAGATCTTTAACAGCCATCCTTCCCCATCCTCCATTTTTCAGCAGGGAAGCTGAAGACCAGAGAGATTAAATGATTTATCCAATGTCACATTGCCATGTTAAGCACAGCTTAGAGTGGTGCTTAAAATCTGAATATAGAGCCCATTCCTTTTGACAGGCAGGCTTAGA